AATGCTGCACTCCTCTTACCTCCCTCGCAAATATCCTCAACTCGGATAGCACTTGCAGAAAGCACTCCAAAAGACACCTTAACAAAACGCACCTCCCAACCATCTAATCGTATTGGCTCGTCCACCACCTTCCCTCACACAAACCCATACCCATGCCCGCCACGTTGCCAACCCCGCCCACACCAAAACACATGGAAAAGTACCAAACTCCCACCCATCACAACAATATCCAATTGCCATCATCTACGCACACAGAGACTAACGCAGTGTAGCATCTCCCCTGCATTCTTTCTTCATCGCTAAACACACTGTTTCCTTCTTTGTTGCAACCTCTAACACACGCAAAACACAATCCGCCAACTTTGGCAGGCCATAACCAATACAAGACAGAAAAGGTCTCATTCCACCGCCTCAGTGCTACAAGGGCTGCACCCACTTGATCGCCCCTACTACAATTGCCCACGTCCACAAGCCAACAAACATCTGCTCTACACAAATGCGTGGCATCAACCAACACATTCATGCTGCCCTTCGCCACTCCTCACCACGCTAGCCCAACTATCATACACTGCCACATGTGTAAGTGGCGACCGCTTGCATACTCACCACTGAACTACACTGGTCCTAACGAACTCCTGCCTACAACTAAACCCACACGCGCAACAACTAGCATTCTGTAGCACGCCACAAAATGCAAACGTGCCTACCATTCCCCATAGAGATACGGAACTCCACAAAATGAGTCAACAAATATTCCACCAACAACCAGCATCTACTTCAACCAAACACACACGCACCCAATCATACACAATATACAACACCTACGGCCCCTGCACTGCCCCCCTGAACTACACTCGTCCTAACGGACTCCAGCCTACAACTAAACCCACACGCGCAGCAACTAGCATTCCGTAGCACGACACAAAATGCAAACTTGCCTACCACTCCGCATCGTGATATAGAACTCCACAAAGCGCGTAGTTGGGCAACACACATTCGACAAACAACCAGCATCTACTACAACCAAACACACACGCACCCAATCAGACACAATATAAATCACCTACTGCCCCTGCACTGCCCCCCCCAGTGCCCCTGCACTGTGCACTGCACTGTAACCGCAGCCCAAAAGCTAACATCCCCTCACCACCCCAATGCTGAACCCCTCTTTTCTCCCTCGCAAGCAGAATCAACAGCCGGAACCCATGCACGAAAAATGCCACACCAAAACCCAACCAAACCGATCACACACCATCCCCAGCCAATCGTATGGCGTCGTACGCCATCATCCTTCACACAAACACACTCATGCTCTACACGTCACCTCAACACGCCATATTGTAGAACACTCACAATGAGTCCCACAATGAATCCAATATTTAACACCTGCTCATGCCTCTAAAATGTACACCGTCAGACTAACACACACTACCATATATTCTTCCAGTCCCTTCCTCAGCGCACCGTTTCTCCCACTTACCACACACGTTAAACACATCCAACAAAAATTCGCCTGCTCTTTCACCGAATTCCCCCGCATCACGTACCACATTAATTACTCAGCCACCTCACTACGCTGCGCACGGTGGCTCCTAAGTCTCCACTACAACAAACACCAAAACCCACATACAAACCCCCACCTCCTACCTGCATACTCCTCACATCAATCAACACACTCATGCGCAACCTGCAACCCCTATCCGCCAAATCGACCCTGCTATCACTAACACAATACACTACATTTCTACCCTTCCGCGCAGCTACACGCAATGCCGTCAACAATTGCGAAAGAGTTGGCACACCCAAACATACCCCAACGCAACACGGTACGTACCTATCTAATTTCATACTGCCGTTTTCCACTCTTCCTCAAACACATGCCCACTCGCACAAATCCACTACATTCCTTCTAACGCAAATCCTCATGTACAAGAACCCACAGCTCCTCTAGACACGGCCCAGAAACACAACATAATAGCCCACCTTGACTAACTTTCCGCACACTCCAACACACATCCTTCCAACAACTAGCTAGCCAACAAAATTTCCGCCAAGAAACCCCCACTACAACAACCAACCACAGCTGTATACACCGGCACTCCCATACACATCGCCTACTATCGGCGCAGCCTGTACCTCTATCGGCGCAGCCTGTACCTCGCAACCCACGTACCTACCTTCCGCTGACCAACCCAATACACCACTCCTCTAACCTCGCTACAACCTAACCTCAACCCCCATGCCACACAAACACACACCCAACCAAAAAACATTTCCTCCACAGATAGCCTTGTAATCAACAATTTCATATTCCGTAACACCAAACCGGGCATGCTCACCAGGTTCCCTAGCCCTCTGATATCGTTCACCTCCAAAATGTTAGCAAATACCAAACACCCACGCATGCCACGATAATGTTCAACACCCACACTGCTGCATTTGCATCACTCTCCTTGCTAATCTCCAACACACTGTCTCCTGTTCAGTGGGAACTATACAGCGGCCTCATCGAGAGACCCTTCACGCATGCGAAATCGGCATGATATGTCGGACTTGTGGTTTCGGTTCCGAGTGCGAGTAGGCACAACACTGAAGGCGCGCTGGACAGTCGTTTCAACGAACCAGGAACTGCAAGAAAAAGGCAAGGTCTAGCGCTAGCTGCAATGGG